CTCTTAAGAGGTCGCTAGGATATTATTTGGGAATTTAGGCCAAAGATCTCTGCTGACGACAGGACTGCATAGGGGGCGATTACTTTCACCTTGAAGCTCTGGGTTTACGGTTAACGTTAGCCATACACGGGCAATGGCTTAACGACCAGAAATCAGTAATTAAGAAAAATAACCGACCAATATTATAGACATTGGAAGGGTCAGTAGAAGCCCGACAATAGGCATTCCCGCATGCAAAGTCTGAAGTTCAATCCAACGAATCACTACGCACTGGCGTCCAATGCTATATGTACTTGAGCTTCCTAAATGGTGGGCCGCCCAATGGTGATATGAGTCGCTTTACTAGTGCTATTGGTCTATAGACTTACGTTGGCTCTTATAGTTTTCCTGGTCTGAAGACTTGCTTTGCAAGCTAATAGGTGTTTCTCTTGTTCTTTTCTGTTTGTTTTTTTTCGCATGCTTTTCATTCATTTTTTTAGTTCAGTAAAACAATTACAAGCGCTTTTACTTTATTTCTTACTGCGCATTTATTATGCATCACTTAACACGCATTACTTGCTCTTTGATCAAGCATTAATCATTTGCCCACGAATTCCGCCACAAACTTCGGCTGAGAGACTCTTGTTATTGGGCGGCCGTGCGATTTAATCCCATCCAAATGTCAAAAACAATTGAAAAGTTTAGAGAAGCCAATTTGAATGTTCTGTCTTGTGTAAATTAAGTACAGCTTCGGTAACTAGTCCACACATGTTCCTGTAAGAAACAGAACTGGCGAAATTCAGTGAGATAAAAACGTGCCATTTTCTTGGATAAAAAGCACAGAAATCCTAATGATGGGCGTCATTAGGGGGAGGCAACATGAACGGCTTGCTGGTTGTGTTCATTTACTAATACAGGCAAAAATGTAAACGAATCTATTGTAATCTGGATCTTCATAAACCTGGACGAAACGTGCTATCAATGTCGAAGCCTTAATCGATTGAAAGAACATTTAGCTTTTCTTGAGCAACATAAATGCAAAAAGACGTGTGGAGAGGCATTTCACGTGCGAGTGGACGTGAGTTTCCCGCCTATAATGGACCACGCGGTAGGTGCGCTGGGATATGTCAGGGTATGGTATGCGCTATTGTGGATGTAAAACCATAATGAATGATGGTACGCCTGAGCGCAGGCTTACTTCATTCATATGACCCGCGCCCAACCTCGTTTCCGGTCTTCTTGACTCTGTTCGGGCACCGGAGTTTAAGAGAAGAAAGTGTGCTAGGTGCTGTGCAAGTCGAATGTCATTTAACAAGCAGGGCATATTCCCTGTGATCACCCTGCACACAATGGGCCTTGTCTGAACTGAGGGGCGAACTGTTGTGCACGATTAATAATTTCACAAACGGTGCAGGCCAAGCAATATGAAAGTATCAGCTGTGGCGAAACAAAGCAGTGAAAACTGAAGCTCCGACTTGCATCCGGTCTTTTCTGTATGT